CAAAGAAAAAAAATGTTGCCGTGTCTAGGTTGCAAAATATAAACACGATAATTCTGTGCGCACTGTAGCCATTAATATTGCTTGAAACTTTCTGTCTTTTAATCAACTCAAATGTTTTGACAACTTGATGAACTTCCCTGCAGTAGAGCTATTACATGGCGGGACCTTTGAATCTTACGTCTACCTGTATTTTCCACAGAATAGCACCAAACCAAGTGTGTGGCGAGCCTTGAGAATTAGAGCATCCGAACCAAGGCCATCCGCACAAACTTCATTAGAACAGAGGTAACAGCACTACCACTCAAAAGCGAATCTTCCTCCTACGTCAAACGCGCCAGGATTAGCCACGTAAGGGCACGACCACGTAACTTCAAAAGTGACTCCCAGTGCGTTAACTCACCAGAGTTGGACACGTATGGCGTCTCCGTGGTCGTGTAGCCGACAAGTCCCACTTTTTGCCCCGCTACTGTGATGACAGTGGACTTTGGGACGAGTCCTTCCATGGGCGTGCCGTGGAAGTCTATGTTGCCGGAAAGTACAGGGAACGTTACGTTTTTAGTAAAGCTCGACAGCCTGTCTAAACCTCGGTCAAACTCGTGGTTACCTAAAGCCTGGAAAGAAAGTGAGAAAGTAATAAACGTCAGTGACATGTATGATTAATTTCGTATATAGCTATAAATCTCTGAGTTCCAATTATTTATTTATTTTAAAATTTGGGACAGTGCTTCGACATTTCTTGTCAGGCCAACCTTGTTTGTGTAGGACATTTTATTCCAGCAGAAAGATAGAAGTAAGTGATATAATATCCCCACCCCTTAGAAGGACTCAATCAAAATTGTATCTTTCAGGATCAAAATAAAGAGTATACTCTGTCCATGCTGGCCAACGGAACGAATGGCCCTAGCTCGAATACCCTATGGGGTATTCTGAACTTGTCTCGTAATGCATCTAAATGTGTTACTTGGAATGCAAAACGTATACCATTATTATAACAGGAGCGGATACAGTAAGCTTTAGGCTCTAAAAGATATGACATGGGGAGTCTGGCATGGTGTGGTTTAAACTGCTAGGATACTTTGAAAAAATTAAAAACCAGCTCCAAAACTGGACACCTGAATGTAAAATCTGTATCTGGTAGGACCTTGTCAAAGAGGCCAGGAGCCTTAAAAGATAATATTTAACAACCAAAGTTCAACAACATTAACCACAGTGTCAGTTTGGAACCAGGGGTCATCCACACTAAAGATCTAATATGCGACGCATCGTTATGATGCCAGGAGCACGCAAAAATAATGCAATCGAAGAAATCGACATATTTCTACCCGTTGTACAACTTTTATTGATTTTTTTCGGGGGGGGTATCAGCACTTTTGATATCCATTTTAACATACATTTAATTCTTTGCAATTTTTTAAATTAAAAACCGTTGATCAATGGAACAATATATAAAAATTTGCAGTTTCTAAGGACACACAAGCTTTGGAAGTCTCCAAACTTTGGCACCATGTGTCACAAATTTTACCTCTGACACGAGACGACCCCCACTTTCTTCAATTGTGAATATCTCGATTTCTATCAAGATATATAATGAATGTATTATTTCATGGAAAGCAAGACAAACGAGTAGGCTTTAGGGTTATACCAATAACTCCATAATAATATGCCCCAAAATTGACGAGCGCCTGATTCCACCACCTCGTGAAACTGTATTATTATCAGATCTATCGGAGCACTGGAGATCGAAGTAAGTCTAGCTTATACCAAGTGCACACTGCAAATCGGATTAATTTGATCCAGTTGGAGCTAGCCAGATTTTCCTTCATGAATGGGACAAAGCAATCATTTTGGCACGATATGACCGAATTCAACTAGATCCCACCGTGATCTTCAAAATCAAACACATTTGTTTTTCGAAGTAGCGTGTCGAACAGGTCGTATTGTGCCAAAACCGTAGCTTTGACCTCGTGCCTCACCATTAAGGAAAATGCCTGATCCTGACTGAATCAAATGAATCAGATCAGCAATGTGCACCGGGTATTAAAATTACCATTGCCTGATATCCAATAAGGTTCATCATCTGAGAGGCGACGGACCCGCCAAAGAGATAAAACCAGAGCGTGCCCTGGAACTGGTCTCCGGCGTCTACAAGTATTGTGTTGTTGTACTCAGACCGCAAACGCTCAACCTGAAGACAAACACAATAACTATATTCAAAGATATGTCGTATATTTCTTTCTTCTTTCTTTCCTTTTTTTCTTCCTTTCTTCATTTCTATTCTTTCTTTTCTGTTGTTTTTCTTCTTCTTTTTTCTGTCTTTCTTTCTAGGCGCTATTCGTCAACTGCAATGTGTAGCCTTTTAACAACGACCCCCACTCTGTTTTATCAGCTGCTCTCTGTATCCAGGTTGTACCCGCCTGCTCTCTGTAGAAAGAGGCAAGACCGCTAAATATAACGCCTTATATATTTATATATATAAATATCTCGGTCTATTTTTTTCCTGTAGATAGTAAGTATTTTAACAGGTGTAACTACAGCTTGTACAATTATTGTGTACTCTTAAATAATTGGAAAGATATTATGTTTTTCTTTAAATGTCTTCCTTTCTTTAAAAACGTAGATAGAAACTTCCCAGCATTGAAAGGGTTAAAATGGTGTACATATATATTAACATCTAATTATATATTATCCCACAGCGCACATTAAATACAACCTAATTAAACACAATGGCAATAAGGCTCATTTCTACAGACCCAAGGCTCACCATTGCGTAGCATTCAGTTTAAGCCCGGTATTAACGCATTGTGCTAATTGGCATGACAATGGTGGCCGACCAAATACAAGCCATTGCATCAACATTGTCTAAATTAAAATTTTTTAAAAAACCCAAAAAAACCCAGAAAAACAAAGATGAACTGAAAGCGAAATCAAAATCAAAAGAAAAACAAAAAAACCAACCAACCACCAAACAAAAAAACTCTGTTTTAAAAAAACCCCAGAAATAAAGTAACACCAAAAAAAAAGCTCACCATTGTCCGAATGCGAGGAGCCCCACCATAGCATTCTTCCTTTTCTCGATCCCGAGGAGAGCACGCTGATCCGTATCTGTGAAGGACAAGTTTGTAGTGTCAGTTGGTTGGTAACTTCCTATGAAATTCGTAGCTGCCGAGAAAATAATAACTACAGTGGGTGAGAAGTTCAATCACGAAGGCCAAACCGGAGTCTGTGTTGGAGTTGTATAGACACGTTGTACGCAGAAGATCTGGGTTCGATTCCTATTCGGAGAGAATTTGTATGGATTGTCTTGGCCTTTCTGCTGAGACATTGTATCCCTGTAAACCCGGATTGCCTCTGACAGGCAGGGTCGGAAGCCGCCTCCTAAATGTTATAAATTAAATTTGTTCGACCCTGGCGCGAAAACAATGGAGCATATATTTTAAAAAAACATGTTTGACTTTGACAGGGAGTGAACATTTAATATAAGTCAAATGCAGACGTAACGTATTCAAAAGATAAAAGGGGTGGTGGTGGTGGTGGGTGGGGAGGGGGTACAAGGATAAAACAAATTATATGTATCATGAATGCATGAATTTCATAACATAATGTGAACGGCTTTAACAGGGTTTTGCATTATTTACAAGCTTAATAATTTTTGGGTAGACCAGTAACAGAGAAATGTTTTCTTATTGTTTCAGGTTTCTACTATTTGTCAAATTGGGGATAAGGAGGGGATGGAGAGAGAGAGAGAGAGAGAGAGAGAGAGAGAGAGTGGGTAGCCAGAGAAAGAAAAAGAGAAAGTGGGAGGGCGTAGTGAATAAACGAGAGAGAGACGAGAGAGAGACGAGAGAGAGAGAGAGAGAGAAAGAGAGAGAGAGAGAGAGAGAGAAAGAGAGGGAGAGAGAGAGAGAGAGAGAGAGAAAACAAGAGAGAGAGAACGAGAGAGAGAACAAGAGAGAGAACGAGAGATAGAGAGAGAGAACGAGAGAGAGAGAAAGAGAGAGAGAGAGAG